CTCATGGTTCATGAGACTGAGCCCCACGTCAGGCTCTGCACTGAAAGCACGGTGTCTGCTTGGGATTCTCTTCTTTCCCTCTCTCTCTCTGTCCCTCCTCCACTCCTGTTTTCTCTCTCTTTCTCTGCCTCAAAACAAATAAAAAATAAACTTTAGTGGTGCCTGTGGTGGCCCAGTTGGTAAGCATCCAACTCTTGATTTTAGCTCAGGTCATGATCTCACGGTTCATGAGTTCAAGCCCAGCACTGGGCTCTGTGCTGACAGCATGGAGCTTGTTTGAGATTCTCTCTTTCTCTCTCCCTCTCTCTGCCCCCTACCAAAATAAATAAATAAACATTTAAAAAAATATAAACTTAAAAAATAGTAATTGCCCTCAGGCAAATTTCATATTTTAAGCCTGTATTTTGTCATCCTTAAGTGGAAATAGATGGTGCCTACCTCATCAGTTTACTTCTAGAAGTGGTCAATCAACTTAAGGAGATAAATTATAAAATTAAGTGAGATATGTGTAACAACACAAACTATTGAGCACTTTATGCAAGTTGTTCTATTTTGTGAAGAAGAAAGAAGGGAAATAGAACAGTTGAAGAAGACTTTTTTCTCATTTTTCTGTTAGAAGTTTTCATCAGTAGGTTTATCTATATGTAAAGCAAGAGGTTTTTATTTTTTACAGGTTATATTCCCAAATAACTTTGAAACAGGAAATGGGGGAAATGTACAGGGACACCTTCCTATGATGCCAATGTCTCCTCTAATGCATCCAAGGGTCAAAGAAGTTCGGACTGACAGTGGGAGTCTTCGAAGGGGTAGGTTCAACACAGGTAAAACAAAAAAATAACAAAGATAGTTTTCTCAAAATTTCAAGTCTTGCTAATATATTATTATGAAATGTAATTTCTTCATCAAGATTGAAAAAGGGGCTTATGAAAAAGATTTTTTAAATTTAAAAGATAAACAGGGGCTAGGACACCTGGCTGGCTCAGTCAGTAGAACATGGGACTCTTAAACTTGGGTCATGGGTTTAATCTTACATCCACATTGGGTGTGAAGCCTACTTAAAAATAAAAATAAAACGAAATGTAAAAGGAGGCTTATGCTAACACCCTTTTGTGGCTTGTTGTATAGTTTTGCATATCAAAGTAATAAGATTTTCACTCTGTTTTTTAATATTTTTTTACTTCAATGTCAGTTGTTGTGGAAATAGTATTTTAGCCTTTTAATAAACACACTTTTCCTAATGCTAACAGAAAACTGTAAATAAGCAAAATACCTACTTTTCAAATGTGACAAAAGTTATATTCTTTCTCTATGTATGTCTTTATAGAAAGAAAAGTATTTGAAGCAGAGTAAAAAAACTCTTTGGGATGCTTAAGTTCATCTAAGAAATAACTTATCCATACTCTCTTAAAATAGTTCATATGAACCTTACGGGAAGATTTTAGTTCATTCATTCGTCCTTATTTTCTCTTATGATGTGTGCATCTGATGTGTGCATCCTCTGGATTATATGAATTTTTTCTTGAATTTTTTAATCAGTTAAAATCTTTTGATCACATATCCCTGAACAAACTTCAGATGAACAAGTACTCGGGCTTCACATGGCTCTTGATCCAACTTGAACTATAATTTTGTGTATGTGTGTGCAGGCACACATATAGTCTTTGCTTTACATGTAGTCCAAGATGATAAAAATGTGCATGCAAAATAGTCTTCATAAGCAATGAGAATGATTAGGATTGTTTTATGACCTTTAAAAATCTTGTCAGGAGACAGGGGCGCCTGGGTGGCTCAGTCGGTTGAGTGTCTGACTTCGGCTCAGGTCATGATCTCTCGGTCTGTGAAGTC